TGAAGAATGGATGGATACCGATGTGGACGAGCCGCATCACCAGCTGGTCATGGATTTGGACGCTTCGGTGACCTGTTGCAGGATGCTGGTTCGGAGGATCGATTCCGAAGTTGAGGATCTTCAGCAGAAGAGTGGGACGGGACTGGATGCTCAGAGTAAGATTAAGTTATTAATGAAGAATGGGACCTTAGAGGAATTGCAGAAGATGGTTGATCGCCAAACGGGTGCTTTGACCCTTCTTCTTACCGTCTGCAACTGGTTAGTAGAAGAAGTTCCTTGCCCTTACTCACGCAGCAGGCTAATGTTTTGTGTAGCAAAGCCATCGGAGAGCAGAAGGTGGTGCTTGAGAAAACCTCTACCCGCAGGGTAATCAAACGAATCAAGGACGATGCCTCGTCGCTGTACGTCCAGCGCGACTCCATGTCCATGTACAGTCGCTGCACGGACAACCTCTCCAAAATCTCCAAGATGTTCGAGTTTGACCGCGAGCTCTTCGTCTCGAAGGTGTATGAAAAGGCTCTCCGGGGTTCCTTGAAAGACACCGTCGAAAACATGCGCCAGAAACAGCAGCGGTCTGATGTGAGGGTCTCCCGAGAGGAAAGGGTAAGGGATATGATTATTGAGCGTGAACTTAAAGAGCATGCTTTGAAGATGAGACAAGAGGCTAGGGTCGTTCTCCTAGGAGAGAGCGATTGTGTGCAGGGTTTCATTAAGAATATGAAGATCAAGCACGCAGATGGCTTCACCGATGATGATCGTAGGATGTATAAAGAGGTAGTAATGAAGTATATGATGCGTGTGATGGAGAGTATGGTCTTGGTACAGAAGAATGGGGATATTGGCCTAGATAATACAGCCAAGATACAAGCTAAACTTCTCTCCCAGGAGATTGAGGCGATCCGAGCTGGTGGTGGCAAAATCACTCTCGAGGGCGCGGGTGCAGTCCAAGGTCTATGGAAAGATATTTTAAAAAGGGATTTAAATTATGAAGCATATATACCAGAGTCGCCCTCATAGTAAGTTTAGTTAGTCATTTGACGGATGAGTTCATACTGACCACCGAACAAATAGTTTCATCGAGGAGATCCGAAGGATTGCACAGAAAGACTACCT